CTGGCCCGTGTGGTCCTGGTCCCTCATTATCCATGTGGACGGCAGCTCTGGCCTGTGTGGTCCTGGTCCCTCAGCGTCCGTGTGGACAGCAGCTCTGGCTCGTGGCTCTTTGATGTTGACACTGTCCTGCCCAGGAGGAAGGGGCCACAGCACCTCCTCACAGGAAGGATGACCCCCCGAGTCTCTCCGACGTCTGGGCCGGGTGTCTAGAGAGAATCTCCTCTTCTCTTTGGGAGCTGGCAGGGCAGAGGAGAGAGGAACGGTGCGCAGCCATCCTGGACAGACGTTCCTTAGGATTCCTGCCAAAGCAAAGCAGGATGAAAGGGCCAGGGATGCAGCATTTGGAAAGGTCGGTGCTGACCGAGGAGACGGAGGGGCAGGTGTCAGGTTCAGGGTTTTCATGGGAGGCTCCACTTCACAATCACACGGGATTTTATGATGGCCTTAGACTTTGGCTCCACCTCTCTCAAGTGTCGCCTCCCCCCGCCCCCCCTGCAGGCGACGTCCAGACTCGGCCGAGAGGACAGAGGCCGCAGAAGCCTCTGTTGTCCGGCCACATTTAGGGAGCAGCGGCCACCTCAGGACCAGTGGGCACCAGCAAGGCCCGTCTGGGGCCAGCCACACCTGGATGCACAGCGACTCTGGGGGAGACCCCAGAGAACCCCAAACGCAGCGCCAGGAGCCTACTGGCCAGGGGCTCCGCACGAGCTTGGGCGTATGGAGTGGCAGTCCCCGCAAAATAAATCACGCCTACTTTTGACCACACTCCCAGCCACAGCTCCTGGGGGCTTTGTGGGCTGGCAGGACAGCATGTGCCTGCTAAACAAGGAGGGGCAAAACCTGCGAGGCAACGCTGACTGGACGGAGGAAGGACAGTCCATGCCCTCATCCCGCTCCAGCCTGACACCAACACTCCTCAATCTCGTTCAGAAACAGAGGCAGACGGGACACTTCCTAACCTGTCCTATGAAGCCAGAGTCACCCTGATACCAAACCAGAAAAAGACATTACGAGAAAGGAAAACCACAGACCAACATCTCTCCTGAATCTAGACGCAAAAATCCTCAACCAAATGTTTGCAGATGGAACCCGGCAATGTAGGCAGAGAAGTGCACACCGCAACCACGTGGGATGGGCCCCCGGCACGCCAGGCCAGGTCAACACCAGACGGCTTTCTGGCCGCTCGGTGACCCACGCAGGTATCTGACGGAAGACATACTTACCTGTGGTTGGATAAACAGCTGCAACAATGTCGGGCTTCTCTCTCCTGACAACACGCAGCCTGACTTCCTGTTCGGAACACCTCATGCCGCAGCCAAACTGCAAACGTTCCTTAACTGTGTCGCCCAGTCCCTCCCGACTCGGTGTCTGCCTGGTGAGCCGTGATCCACATGCAGCCCCACGCATGAGCTCCAGGCGAGAGGGAGTCTCAGGTCGGCCGAGGGGCCAGCACCTCTCTTGTGAGGATGGATGCAGGGACACCACATGGCCCTACCCTGGGAGTGGCACTGTTCCAGGCCGCCTGGCATGCCCGCTGCCCCACAGACTTCAGGCAGAACCTCCGTGCACCCCATAGGCTTTCCCACCATCAGAACCAAGTGCCCCAGCCCAGCCCAGTGCATCCGGGTCCTGGCTGGCTGCAGTTCCTCTCGAAAAGGAAGGAGTACGCAGGGGTAGAAGCAGAGGGGTGAGCCCCGAAATCGGGCCTGCGCCACTGTAACTCCCCCAGAGCCTGCCCAGTGATCCCACCCCACGTTCCAGGTCCCCAGGCACACAGGGACTGGTGACGTGGTCGCAGTGGGGGCGTGCCACTCCAGCAGGATAGGGAGTTCATTCCCAAAGGAAGGCTACATGGACTGCGGTTGATGCACCGAGCACTCCTCAAACCAAAAACCAAACCAGTTGCCACCGAGTCAGTTCTGACTCATGGTGACCCCACGCACGTCAGAGTAGAACTGTGCTCCACGGGGTGTTCAATGGCTGATTTTCAGAAGTAGATTGCCAGGCTTTTCTTCCATGGTGCCTCTGGGTGGATTCAGCCCTCCAACCTTTCAGTCAGCAGCCAAGCACTTTACAGTGTGCACCACCCAGGACTCCAGCAGTTCCTGTACGGCCTGATTGCAAGGATGACATCTTCTGCATTTATCTGAGAAGACGCTGTGCAATCATGCTCCACAGCATGTCCTGTGGTACGTGGCACCCAAGTACGCTGAGTGTGCGTAGCCTCAGTTCCCCCACTTACCAGATCTGTCCCACGTTGACCAGAGACATGTAGAGGACCCAGAGAGCAGCCATGAGGACCATGTTTGCACAGCCAGCTACCAGGACGAAGGACGAAATACCCAAGCCGGCCAGAGCCAGGAAGTCCAGGTTGGTGTCCATGCGTGACCAGTCCAGGAACCAGAGGACAGTGGGCGCGTAGCTCAGGGCGTCCCAGCCGATCCTCCCCTTGAAGTGCTGCTGGACACTCTTCAAATACAGCCTGCTGGGCAGTAGCCCCTGGTCTCCAATCAGCTGCTTGTTCTGGTGGAAAGCCACCAGGAACGCCACGACTGTGAGGAACAAGATGGAAGAGTGTCAACAGAAACAGAGGCACTGGTGGGACCAGGGAGCATTTCAGGTGGGCCGGGGACTCTGCTGGGCCAGAAGAGGAAGCAGAAGGGTCTGACCGAGGGGTTGGGATCTAAACTATGGATCCCAGGACTCTGGGTTCTTTCTCAAAGTCTTGGGAAAATACTGGTGGCCTCAGCTTGGGAGAACTGTATAAACACCCGACTCTGGTTGGTTTTTTCTCACGAGGTCTGGGTTAGTTATTCAGATGCTGCTTTGTGTGCACGTGGGGGTTGGACGCATAAGTGAAAGGGTGTGGGGTGGGAACGGATTTCTCCCTGTTGGAGGGAAGTGGCAGAGAGGCGAGCAGGGGGGCTGGAAGACGCCCTGTGGCACTGGATTAGAGTCGGAGACCCCAGTGTGAACTCATGTTTACCTGAACATATGTGCAGACGGACACGCAGAGAAACAAGTACATGTGTGCACACTTGGTTAGTAGACACAAGTATTTCTTAGCTCTGTCTGCCAAAAGGGTCTTGAAGCAGTGACAGCCCAGTAGCAATGGGCACTCCCAGTACCCAGATCTTGGTTTCTAACACCATTCTCCAGTAAAAGGATGGCTCTAGGGTTCTTTGAAGAAATGGATGATTCTAGCTGGGCTAAGGTTGACAGTTCGAGCCCCCCCACCCACAATAGCTCCACGGGAGAAACGACCTAGCAATCTGCTTTTGCAGTTTACAGCCTAGAAAACCCCAGGTGGCAGTTCTACTCTGTAACACACGGTGTCACCATGAACTGAAATCGACTCAAAGGCCCCTAACAACAGCGGGAACGAGGAACGCTATTCTCGGTTGTGGGGTTCTCACTGGCTGCTGTTAAGTTCCGGACCAGGCACAATGACCTAAAATGATTTTCTTGAAAGGTATGTACTGCAGGCGAGCTCAGGGGCAAGGCAGCAGTGTTTGTTGTTGCAACAAACTGGAAGCGTTTTACAGAGGAGCATGTTATCGCAGGAGAGCGGTGCACTGGAGCTGGAGCGGCCTGGAGAAGAGAGAGGGCTAGCCGCCCACGAACTTTCAGAACCAGTGACTGCTCAAAACAACACAGAACAAGGCATGATTTTAAGTGTTTTTTGGGTTCTGTTTTTTCCTCCAATTCCCCAAGGAACAGCTAAGAGCTTCACAAGTATGACACACGCAGGGTTCTGCTCTGCCGCTCTGACAACCCTGGCCACCCTTTGGCGTGCTCTGAAAATCTCTGAAAAGGAAGCTGATCCAAGATCCCCTGCAGACTTGCTTAATCTGAACAACAGTTTCAGAAAGTGCTATTTCCATTTACCTCAAAGCCCTCAGACTACAGTCGTCAGTCAGGGGACGAGAGGTCATAAACCTCTCAACCACGTGCAATGTGAATCAGGAAGACAGCAGAGCACTGGACAAAGTACGCCGATAACCCTGCACAACGCATCTAAACCGAAAGGCGGGGGCCCTGTGTCAGCGGGGGAGGAACCGCCGTGCCCAGGCTCCGTGTCCTGGCGGGTCTACAGCAGAGCCGGGCCGGGGAATGAAGAGACGCCTGTCTCCCTTTCCTGGACACAACCAAAGCCACCAATATGGGCGGCAGCGGGTTCGGTCAGGTGCTGCCAGCACTCAGCGCAGGCTCTGCACTAAAAGGCCGCCCTACCTGTCTTCAGTTCTTGAAGCTCTCACTGACCTCCTTCCCCTCTCGTGACACAGGGACACTCACAGTCGGTGCCTGTCAGTGTCCTGGCTACAGCACTGCTGCTGGCTTGGGGAAACAGCAGCCACAGATTGACACCCACGGGGCACCTACGGGTGCCCAGCACCTACAGGGTGCCCAGCACCTCGGGCCACCTACGGGCACCTGACACCGGCACACCTACAAGCATCCAATTCCAGGTGGGCAGCACCACACCGCACGGCTCAGGATAGGGAGTCTCGCCCCGTGAAGTCAGGGGTGAGTGTGCGCTGGGGAAGCACCCAGAGAAGCCTGGGTAGGTGGCCTGGCACGCGACAGGTGCTGCACGAGTACATGGTCCAGGCAGGAAGCAAAGTCCACACATCGGGTGGATCTATTCAGGCTGCTTCAGCAGCACAGGTAAAAGGTAAGATGTCGCTCTCTGAGACGCTCCAGGGCAGTGCCAGCGCCTCAGCTCACAGCTGGCGCCTCGCAGGCAGCCTGCGACGCTGTCCTGGGAGCCAGATCGTGTGCTTGTGTGCAGTGTCTACACACCACGGAAACGTCACAAAGTGGGAGGACCCGGCACGGTGACAAACACAGAATCAGACCAAACACAGAGTCTCTTCCCCGCACTGGCCCGAGGTGTCAGTGACACACCACTGGGCATCCCTCAACGCAGCCCTTTCTCCTGATCTCTCCATTTTCTTTACAGGCCCATCCAGACAATCTGTATAAGGTCCAGTTTGCCCAAGTTCAACGCCCTTTAACTAGAGGGGTGTCTACAGAATACATTTGGCTGTGTTTTTTTTATTACAATTCTGTCAATAGCTAAAGTCATTTAAAAAATTAGCATCCAATGAACTATTTGGAGAGCCCCTAGGGCATCTTGGAAAAACCCTGGGATTCTGAGGGATGGGTGTAGTCCACATTCCGGGTAAGACCCGGAACCCTCTGTTGTTAGGTACTGTGGAGTCATTCCCACTCACAGCGACCCATGGGACAGAGCAGAACTGCTCCATAGGGTTTCCCTGGCTGTAATCTTTAGGGAGCAGATCACCAGGTCTTTTCTCCCGTGGAGGCGATGGGTGGGTTCAAACCGCGGACCTTTTGGTTAGCAGCTGAGTGCTTAGCCATTGAGCCACTAGGGTCCCTTTGGAACCCTTTGAAAGCAAAACGCCTGTTGCCGTGGAGACTCCAGCTCCCAGCGACCCTAGAGGACAGAGAACTCTGCAGAAGCAGACTTCCACATCTTCCTCCCAAGGAGCAGCTGGTAGGTTCGAACTGCTGACCGACCGAGCACTTCACCACCGCGCCACCAGGGCGCCTTTTGGAACCCTCTAGAAGGAGATAAGGGCAGGAGGCCTGCCCATTTGCCAGAGAACCACACCGCTTGAAGACTGAGAAACTGATTCCTTAATACGCTGAGAAAAATCAAAAACAACAACAAAAAAACCGATTCTACCCCAAATATACTTGCTCACAAGACAGGGAAAAAACGCCTCTGTCAAAGCAGGTTGTTCTGTCTTCAGCACCAGGCTTAAAGCACCTGCTTGACCCAGTGACTTACAATTGTTTCCTCCTGAATTGGTGGGACAATCCCTGCAGAGATCAAAGGCAGCCTCAGCCCAAGGAAAGAGCCCCAGCCCTGTTTCATAAAGCTCTGCTGTCGGAGCAAAGCCACTGGGGTTTCTGCACTGCTCCAGGCTCCCCTTGGAAAGGTCTATTAAAGTCTCAGAGATTAGCTTGATCTTGACTTCATCTTTGCTAAGTGACAGCTCCAGCTTACAGAGTGACTACTTAATACTCTGGAAGATAAAGCCACACTGGCAAGAACTATTTTTATAATGACTTAAAAAAAAAAAATAGAGTTGAAAGCCCAGGTTGGCAATTCCACAGTAAACGTCCTTTCCAGAAAATCTTACAGCAGTGACCAAGTTTTCTAGCGTGTACTAAGAGGCGGCCTGAGTTTTCACACGAGACATAAAATGGGCCTCTCAGCTGCACAGCAATGCCTTCGGGACTTCTTACATGGCTGTGGGACCCATCTTTCCAAAGAGCTTCTGCTTTCTACCCTTTCCGTCCATGTGGGAGGGAAGCAGATGGAGAAATGAAAGTCTGAGGCGTTAAAGGTGTGAGGTGCCCAGTCACGCTTCTGAGGCACCCTGAACCGGCCCCCTCTAGAACTCTCTAAAGGGATGACTGCCCACTTGCCCCAGGCCATCTGGGCTCCCAACCTGGTCCTCTCCCCAACTTTCAAGTTTATTTGAGAAGCTCAGAGGGTTTGGTTTTGGTTGATACTAACAAGTTAGGCTTGTTGAACGGTTTACTTATGCGTCCATTAACATTGCCATAATCACAAAAACACCAAACCCAAACTTGTGGAGTCAATTCCAACTCATGGTGACCCCATGTGTGCACAGCAGAACTGTTCCATAGGGTTTCCAAGGGTGTGAGTTTTTGGAAGCAGATTGCCAGGCCTGTCTTCTAAGAAGCCTCTGGGTGGATTCGAACTGCCAACCTTTTGACTAGTAGTTGAACGCAAGCTGTTTGCTCCACTCAGGGACCCTTCCATACTCACCAAAACCAAAAACCAAACCCACTGCTATAGAGTCGATTCCGACTCATAGCAACTCTGTAGGGCAGAGTAGAACTGCCCCATAGTGTTTCCAAAGAGCGGTTGGTGGATTCAAACTGCCAACCTTTTGGTTAGCAGCCAAACGCTTAACCACTGCACTACCAGGGCTCCTCCATACTCACCGGACCTTCCAAATCTAAGTTCGGGGGTTTAGGGCCTGGGGGTGGGAGGGAGTTGGAATTAGCAGCTGCACCAGACCAGGCAGCCGTCAGAGGTGTAGAGACGTGAACTCTCCTTAGACCCTGGTCAGCAGGCAACTGAGGCTTGAGCAGTGTTCAGCCGGTTGTCAAATCTGGATTCCAACCCAGCCTCTGAGCTAATGAAGTCATCAAAGCTGCCCCTTCCCCGCTAAAACCTCTGGGCTGCAGGGTAAGTGAGTTTAGCTCAAAACATCAAAGGAGCTATGACAGCGGCCATCGGTGTCCCCTCTAGCTCAGACTTCAGGAGACTTGAAAGGGCTCCACTAACTTTCTCCAAGAACTTCGGGCAGGGGTGCACAGGGGCGCAGGACAAAGCCCTTACATAGGACCCGGTAGAGCTGAAAACTGCTTCATCTCACAATTATAAATCTCTCTGTATTTATAGGGGCAGGGGGTGCTTGTGTGCTTATAGGGGAAGGGGGTCCTCCTGTATTTATAAGGGAAGGGGGCTTCTGCATTTATAGGGGAAGGGGGCTGCTGCATTTATAGAGGCAGGAGGTGCTTTTCTGTATTTATAGGGGGCAGGGAGTGGTCTGTATTTATAGGAGCAGAATGTGCATCTGTATTTATGTGGGGAGTAGGTGCTTCTGTATTCACAGGGGCAGGGATGCTATTTAGAGAGGGTGCTCTTGTACTTATTTATAGGGGCAGGGGTACGTCTGCATTTATAGGGAAATGTGCACCTGTATTTACAGAGGAAGGAGGTGCTTCTCAGAGCCCCTAAACATCGGCCTTCTGCCCAGCACCGCCCAGCTCTGTACGGAGGCCTCAAGCTTCGAATGTGGCTAATGAATTTGGTGACTTTAGCTGGCGCCCAGCTGAGCCCGACGAAGACGTTCCGCGTTCCTGGGAGAGAGGCCTGGGGCCTCCACCCGTCAGCGCTGTGCCAAGCTTTGAAAACCCGGCAGGGAAGTGTGGGGGCTCTGGGCGGGGGGACGGAAGGCCCAGGGAGTCCAGGTACGGTTTCATCTACCGAGAACCCACGCGCGGTTGAGGAGGGGGCGCGGTAAGGGGACGCCGATGGGGCGCACACACGGATGTGGTGCGTGCGCGGGGAGAGGGGAGGACGTGGAGGGGAGGGGCGGGATGTGGGGGCGCGTGCGCGTGGGGGCGCGTGCGCGTGGGGGCGCGTGCGCGTGGGGGCGCGTGCGCGTGGGGGCGCGTGCGCGTGGGGGCGCGTGCGCGTGGGGGCGCGTGCGCGTGGGGGCGCGTGCGCGTGGGGGCGCGTGCGAGGAAGAGGCGTGCTTGTCGAGGGGCGTGTCTCCGCGCTCGAGCGGCTCCGGGTGGGGGTCCCGGGCGCGGGTCTGTGCGCGGTCGCACAGGTTGGGGCCCCGGGCCCGCGGCGAACTCACAGTAAACGAAAGCTAGGGCCCTCAGGAGCACTATCCTGGTCAGCCAGAAGGAGCCCGCGCGGAGACGGGTCGGGTAGCCCACAGGTTCGCACGCCGGCTCGGGCGGAGACCCAGACCCCGCGTCTCCGCGCCTCCGCTTCCGTAGCGACTCCGCGGGCGCCGCCATTGCCGGGCCGTAAAAACGCATGCGCGGGAGCGGCGCGCGCCGGGGCGCGCTCGAAGGCCCCGCCCACCCATCACCAGCCCCGCCCCCGTCCGTCAGGCCCCGCCCATTCATCTGACCAGTCCCGCCCACATTCCCGCTGGCCCCGCCCGTCCCCTCACCGGTCCCGCCCACTCTTCTCACCAGTTCCGCCCACGTGCGAGGAGCGCGCTACAGGCCCGAGCACGCGTGCGCCCCCCTCAGGCCTCGCTCCGCGCTGCAGAAGTAAGGGGTGGGTACCTTGGACAGGACTCGGGTGTCTTTGTGCACGAGCGCAGTTGCCTCCCTTGCTTACCTATGCATGTATTCATTCGTTTAGTCGTTCCACCAGTGAACATGGTGGAGAGCCCCATCCCCTCCTGGCCAAGTCTGCGTATTGTCTGCCCTCACAGAACCCTTGTTCTAGGGGACAGAGGCAGGCACACAGACGATAGCACTAAAGTGTGTGTCTTAGTCATCAAGTGGCGCTATAACAAAAATACCACAAGTGGATGGCTTCAACAAAGAGAAATTTATTCTCTCACAGTCTAGTAGGCTACAAGTCCAAATTCAGGGCGTCACCTCCAGGGGAAGGCTATCTCTGTTGGCTCTGGAGGAAGGTCCTGGTCATCAATCCTCCTCTGGACTAGGAGCTTCTTCTCGCAGCAACCCCGGTCCAAAGGATGCACTCTGCTCCTGGCACTGCTTTCTTGGTGGTATGAGGTCCCCACTCTGCTTGCTTCCCTTTCCTTTTATCTCTTGTAAGATAAAAGGTGGTGCAGGCCACACCCCAGGGAAACTCCCTTTACATTGGATCAGCCATGTGACCTTAGTAAGTGTGTCACGATCCCACCTTAAACCTCTTTAACACAAAATTACCATCACAAAATGGAGGACAACCACACAATACTGGGAATCATGGCCTAACCAAATAGACACATATTTTGGAGGGACACAATTCCATCCATGACAGTGTGACAGAGACGGTGGGGACGCCTGGTCAGCATCCAGGGAGGGTCAGCTGTTGACAGCCAAGGAAGTCTAGAGCTCCATGGGCCTGCTGAGGGGCAAGACACTTCACTCCAGGCTCCCTGCCTGCTGCGCTGCCTGGTGGGGGGGTGTGATGAGGGTGTAGCAGGTACGTGTGCCCCGAGCCAGGCCCCTCACTGACTTCTGTCTGTGCTCTCTGTGGATTGGGGGAAAGAGGAGACAGGGGCTGTGCCCTGAAATTCGGCCAGATACTGCAGCTCACCCTCCTGCCCCCGAACCCCCGGTGTCTCTGAGGCCAGCAAAGCCCCCATTACAGACAGCACTCCTGCTGGTCCTTGAGACTGGACCCCAGGCCAGGGGAAGGGGGTGTACCCGGGAGCCCCAGGGGGGACAAACCTACTGACCCAAGCAGAACCCTGGCCAGGGCACCAGTGGCCCCACATTCTGAGGATGCAGGCAGCCAGGCACTGCCCAGGAGAGACTACTCAAAGAGGGAGGAATTGCAGGTGCTCCTTAGCGGAAGGAAGGAAGTGGGGTCCGGGGTAGGCATCAGAGCCCTAGAAGGTTATTAGTGGCAAATCATAGAGGTGTGGGTTATTTCTTATTCGTCAGAGCTCTTTACATATTAAAGATCTTCTCCTTTTGTGCACATTGCACGTATTTATCCTGGTTGGCCTGTTTGTTAAAACATCTTCTTATCTTTAGTCTTAGTTTTATTCCTGGTGTTTTGATATATACTTATTGATGGTTGTGTCCTCCAATGATCCATCTTTATTGCTTGTTTAATTAATTTTTAATCACCTCTTCACCACCTGTGGTATGAACTCCATGAGGGCAGGGACTGACTCTTGGGCGCTGGATCCCCAAATCTAGGTCAGCGAGCGACTGCTGGAACCCCTCCCCAGCCTCCAGCCTTCCCCAGGTGGGGGCAATAGCATGTCTGTGCAGTTCCCATGGGGTAAGATAGTTTCCTTTCCTTTCCCTCGGGCACCAGCCGCACAGCACAGCCTGCCAGTGACGTTGCAATGGCCACAGACATCTTCCGAAACCTGCGGAGCCCGCGGCCCAGGGCAGCACCTGCCCGAGGGTTCCTGGGGATCAGAGGGCCAGCTAGCCTGACTGACACCCCACAGCCAGGTGTTTGCCCGCGAGCCCACCACCTGCACCTCTCCACCCCGCTGTCCAGGAGCCAGGCCAGGTGGGGCTGGCACAGCTGTTTGGGGAGAACGAGGAAAACCCAGCACCCATAGTGCAGGCCTGCCCCAAGCCTCCCTGGGTCCCTGCCCGGAAGCCTGAGCTGCTCAGGGGACATGAATCGAGGAAGGACAGCTCTGCCATCAGGTGTGACCCTCGGCACTCTTTTCAGGTGGGGACGGGCCTGACAAAGGGCCCTTTGTTCTCTGCTTCCCCTTGCTGGGGCTGTATTGTTCCCTGGAGGAGGGCACAACGGTGCATTGTGCAAGCAGAAAGGCCCCTTGTTCCGGCCTCCTCCCGCTCCCGCCCGGGCTCCCTCTCGGGGTCTGCTGGGGGAGCTCGTGTTTCCTCCGGGGCAGGCCTTCCTGGGACGATGACCACAGAGTGCCTCGTCCACCGAGGATCCAGAACCTGCGAGGGAGTGGGCCGCACGAAGAGGCCAGGGAGAGGCCAGGGAGGGGCCGCCTTGGCTCAGCGCCTGCCCGTTGCAGCTGAATTTAATCAGAAGTGCACCGGTGTCTTGGAAATCACCGGAAGGTGTTGCTTTTACCTGGCGGAATAAGGCACGTCATTTACAGCTAAACTTTCCTCTCCATCTTTGTTAGGCGCGTCCGGCCGTTTAAAATACCGTGGGTATGTATGCTCTAAGGTGCGTTGCTTAAAACTAACAGAACTTCTCCGGAAGCCTTGAGAGTGGGGCCACTGACCAGGGGCCACTAACATGCTGCCTCTGCACCCCACATGCCACAATCCCCTGGGGTCTGCTCTGAGCCACCTTTCACCCACACCGAGGGCCTGGGAGAGCTCCTGAGCCCAGTTTCAAGCAAGGAACTCTATGACAGGAAGACATAAGCGAGGGAGGCCATGAGGGGACCAAGATGTGGCCTCAGATTGCCAGGCTGACTCCAGGAGGCCCCCAGCCCACCAGGATAAAGGGCCAAGCACGGCTGAGTAGGCTCGGCAGAGAGGGGAGAGGAGAGCGGAGACGAGAGAGTCCCCAAGGGGAGCCATCCCCCTAGGGGAGCAGTGGGCGCAAGAGTGGATAAGCCTGCGCCTCTAGGTGGGAGTGGTCTGCAGCCACCCCGGGGCAGCACTGGGGCCCAGGCACACAGGAGCATGCGGCTGGCGGAGCTCCCAGCAGCTGCGGGGCGGCGTCACCGAGGAATGAGCCCCGTGTCAGCACCTCATCCAGCTGTCCCCGGGCACCCCGGCCTGGCAGCCCCCCCATTGGGCCAGTTGTCCCTGGCATGGGCTGCAGCTGTCTCTGCACCCCAAAGAACCCAGCGTGGGCCAGCGTCGAATCGTGCACCCTCCATTTACCCCAATTTTTCATCTCTTGAAATCTGTTTGTGGAGAGGGCAGGATGCCTGCATGCGAACGTCTGTCGCTTTCTTTGAAGGGGTGGTCAGTTGGGGCTGGTCCCACCCTGGCTGTCCAGCGGCCAAAACCCCCGGGAGGAGGTGGCAGGTGTGGGCAGTGGGCGCCGAGCAGGTGCCGCGCCATGTGCTGGGTGTCCTGGGACCATGAGTCACAGACAGCTGTGCTGCTTGGCTCGGCGTCCCCTCTCCCAGCACCCCGGCTCCCAGCCACGAGCTCCCACGCCTGCACCCAGAAGGAAGCATGGCCTAGGCCGCCCTGCAAGCTGGCGAGTGCGATTTCTAGGCAGAGCAGCGAGCAAAGAATGCCAACGTCTTTACATTCTCTGGGTGTGGAGCCGCAGGAGAGAAAAAGGAGGTGTAGTTGATTTTCTTAGAATCCTGTTCTGAGCTGGAGAAGTCTAGAAACAGCTTCATCCAGGGTCTACCCACAGAGCTAACCAGTAAGTGTAGCAGTCAGAGTATCAGCTACTGGTTGCCCCTCAAAGCTGCGTAACAAACATCCTCAAAGTGGCGGTCTTCATACGGGCGGGGCAGTTCTACCAGCCTGGGCTGCCTCGGGCCTCTGTGGCCAGCGAGCAGGTCAGCGGAGCTCTGGGTGGCCTCGAAGGGCCTTGGCTGGGCTATAGGATGACTGGGATCTCTCTCCAGCCATCCCAGGCTCTGCCACTCCTGGCGGCCTCACCCCTGCAGCTTCTACATCTCCCCTCCTGCCTGGCTCCAGAAGGTACTTGAGTTCAATATTCCCCCAAACTTGTCCCGAACCTCGTATTTCACAGGGGACCTGGCCTGAGCAGGAGCTTCCGGCACCAGGATTTGACCCTCCTAGGAGCAGTCGCCCAGCAATGGAAGCAGCACGTGGCTCATTTCTGGGGAGAGAGGGTGACCGTGCTGCGGCGTGTTCTCCTTGGAGTGGAGTCCAGATGCCCCCCTCCTGGGGGAACACGAGCGTGCTAAGTTGCTAGCTGGGAGGCAAAATGCACTAAAAACCAGGGGCTGGCTGCCGCATGCCGGCGTCCCACCCATGCTAGCTCGGTCACAGGTGTTCCAGCCCCTCTGCTACCGGAGACTCCATGACCCACACAGAGCCAAGCAGCCACAGACAACAGTGGCATCAGGCCGCTGTAAGCTCAAAACGCCCCCCACCCCCGGAACCCCAACCCCTTCTTGGAGGAGTCTTCTGACTCCGCACCCTTCCCACACCTGTATCAGTGTCCTGGAGTGGCCGTAGCAAAGCACCACACGGGGGGTTATAACAATAGGACTAATTCCGTCACAGTTCTGGGGGCCTGATGTCCGAGATCAAGGTGTCGGCAGGGTCCTTCCTGCTCCTTCTGAAGGCTCTAGGGGAGGACCCTTCCTTGTCCCAGCTTCTGGTGGCCCCAGGTGTTCCTAGGCTTGTGGCCACATAACTCCAGTCTCTGCCTCCGAGGTCACATGGCTTCT